TTTTTTCTCTTTTTTTTTTTCTGTTTTGTTTCGGGGGGTGGGGGGTTGTTTGGATTCTTTTTGTCGTCATTGCTGGTGACTCATGCCTTTTTTTAATGGGAAAAACAAGTTCATTATATTCATATTTTTTATTTGTATTTTCAAGACTTAAACATTTATGTTTAAAAGTGAAAAGAAAAATAATACTCAGAAACTGGTTCCAGAAATAATGCATCTTATAATGTGTCCCGATAACGAGCTGATGTTGCGGGAAGATTTTTTTTCTATAGTGAACTCTGTGGGCATCTCCAAGTATTACCCCTGGACGATAGGAATTGACTCCGGCGTGCACACATGTACACACCCACACACATTTATCTATACATGCTGGCTTAAGCCAACCTCTTGTCTTGCAGATGTAGAAATTGTTGCTTTGTTTCTCTGATAAAACTGGTTTTAGACAAAAATAGGGATGATCACTCTCTTAGACCATGCTAATGTTAATAGAGAAGAAGCATTCTTTTCTTTCTTCTATGTGAAACTTGAAATGAGGAAAAGCAATTCTAGTGTAAATCATGCAAGCGCTATAATTACTATAAATAAGAAAATTCAAGAAGATTCAATCACTGTATAGAATGGTAACGTACCAACTCATTTCTTATATCATATTGTTAAATAAACTGTGTGCAACAGACAAAAAGGGTGTTCCTTCTTGAATTCATGTACATGGTATTAACACTTAGTGTTCGGGGGTTTTTGTTATGAAAATGCTGTTTTCAACATTGTATTTGGACTATGCATGTGTTTTTTTTCCCCATTGTATATAAAGTATCGCTTAAAATTGATATAAATTACTGAAGTTTTTAACATGTATTCTGTTCTTTAAGATCCCTGTAAGAATGTTTAAGGTTTTTATTTATTTATATATATTTTTGGAGTCTGTTCTTTGTAAGACATGGTTCTGATTGTTCGCTCAGAGTGGAGAGGTCGGGGCTGCAGTCATAGTTGCAGTACGGGTGGCAGCTGGGAAGTGTCCCAGGCTTGTAGCCACCAGGCGGGAGGGGGCTCCCTGTGCAGAGAGTGAGGAGGCAGCTCAGCATTGCCTTGCATATTCAGTACTCACAGGTGAATGTCACCCATGCCACAAGGGACAATCACCACTGGGTCAGAAACAGCACTTTGCCTCTAGCCTACTCTTCCTGTCCTCCTCCTTGTTGGCCAGCTGCCCTTGTGGGGAGGGCTCCTGCCCCCCTCCTTTTCAGACAGCCCCCTCTTTCTCTACCCAGATCCCACAATCAATGCAAAGGGTGCTCCAGGGACTTGAGGTGGTTCCTGACCTCCCCTCCCCAAACGTTAAACAGGGAGGTTACCTCCATCAGCCTGCCTCATGAGGCTCATTAGGGCTTTGCAGGTCTGGTGCCACCCTAGGGGCTGCTACTTCATGGCCTTACTGGCTTGTGAAGTCCAGTAACAGGTGTCCTTTCTGAGCAGGGGTTGGTAGCTCCTGAATACTGTAAATGTCACATCTAAGAGGAGGACCACTGACAGGGGAACTAAACCCCTAGCCTGCTGCTCCCAGGGACCTTTAAAAAAAAAAATACCTGTCTTCCAACCAAAAGAGTGGTCTAGATGGGGGTGGGGTAGCTAAATTTAGAAATCATGACCCAAATATCCTTCCTTTTGGCCTTTTAAGTTCACAGAAGTATTTTCAAAATTCATGATACTTGGAAATCTAAATTTGAGGAAGGCCTTTCAAGATTAGAGTTTTGAATGTAGAATTTTGAATCTTGAATTTTAATACTGTGGATAAGACCAGGTAAGGAATAGACCATCATCTAACATCCCCAACTAAGCCCTGTCCCAAGTCCTCCAGAGGTGATGCTCCGTCCTTGCTCAGCTTGATGGGTCCTTGCACATTCTCGGCTCTCTTCAGAATTCCCTTGCTGCCAATTGGGAAGCCCCAAGCCATGTGTTCAAACAAGAAGAGGAACTGGAGCCTCAGAAGAGCTGCTCTCCACCCACCTCAGAAGGTGGCACTTGGCAAGGAGTCTGCATCCTGTGCCGTTGTCCAGCTGGATGTCAGAGGATGTGCCTGAGGATGTGGGCTGTGGATAATATCCCTAAGTTTGTCCTAAGGAAATTTCTGTAAGAGCTGGAGTGCCCAGACACTGTGTCTCATGCTGTATACTTAAGAGGAGAAGAAAAAAGTCCTATATTTGTGATCAAAAAGAGGGAACTTGAAATGTGCTGGTGTTTATAATAAAAGCTGGTAAAACTGCTTGGATTCAAAGGTGGTTCCGATTGGCTAATGATCCCCTTAGCATTAGCTCAACTGATAGTCACTAAACTACTGGAGATGCCAGGTGTCAGCCCTGCATGCATTTGAGGCTCTTCAAACTAGCATTTAAGGACTGAATGCAAATGACATGCTGTTCTGCTCTGTTGGGGTAAAGACATGTAAATTGCCTTTTTGATTTCTATTAAATGGGACTAGTGGGGCATGGTAGCTCATGCATTTAATCCCAGAAAAGCTAGAGCTAGAGGAATCAGGAAGACCTCCAACCCGGAGACCACATAGGGAATTAAAGGACAGCTCCCTGGCTACATAGAGACCTGTCTCAAAAAAGGAGAGGTCACATTTGAATCAACATTTAATCTAGTGCTGCATGACAAAATAAGCTGGCGTTAATAACAGAAGGAAACACTTCCCATCAAGGTGATTGTGTGTTTGGTAGGCACTGTGATGCCAGAAAATACAGGATAGTGTTCTGGGAGGCAGTCCTGTGTCCAGACACTAGCAAGCTTGGGGAATAAGTCTGGCCATCTAGGACTGACAATACACAGGAGCCTGATAGATAGTGGGTGCTTTACATGTGTTGGTTGTTCATTCTAGGTGCAGGGTGGGGAGCAGTGATAACATACTGAGGGAATGGTCCAGAACCCAAACTAAAAACAAACCCCAGTGAGTTTGGGTGAATGGGTCTGCCACTGATGTAAATTGTCTAAAACACTGCTGTCGCCATGTTCACACCAGTTTGTAGAGGATTTGTTAGAAAACAATTCACTTTTCGCTAATCAAATTCAGAGGGATTCTGGCAAGCTTAGCCACAGAATTGAGTTCCTGTCATGTCTTCTGGGTATTCTCCCGCCTGCTGATACTGCCCAGGACTCCTCAGATGTTGGCACAGATAAGGGCCACTAAGACAAGACAACTTTCCATGTTCCTTCCTGGAGTGAGCATTCAAAGAAATTCTAAATGTCCCAAGCTGGAAAGTGGGCCTAGACAGCAAGGGGTAAATGTCAGGTGGTGTTTGAAGTAGACCCCTGTTTGTCAACCCCTCTAGCTTGGACTGGAGTGTACAGAAGGCCCTGGGAGTTTTGTGGGAAGTCGTTTGCTGTTCCTGGCCCTTGGTAAATACTACGTAGGTCAAAAATTTTTCTCACGGGGGAGCCTAGGGTTGGTTTACAATGGCAGAGCCTACATCCGCATCCTTAACTACAAAGCCCAGGTTCCTCTTCCGTTGTCAAATGCCACTTCACCTTTCTAAACTTCTTCCCCAAGCCAGATCAGGTGTTCCATAGATGCCCCTGTTAGCTCTGACAGAAGAGGTGATTCCAGAATGGAGAGTTAAAGGGATAAAACAGAATGAGACGTGGGGCCTCTCAAGACTCCAGGGAAGCTATTCTACATGGTGACATAAATGGAACATAAGCAGGGTAGGGTAGGTGATATAGGGCCTGTGGGCAGAGGCAGAAGCTAGAAACTAAGGATCCAGGAAAGGGCATGGTAGGACTCTAACAACGAAGGGTGGGGTTGGTTATGGAGGATGTGGGCCATGCAGCAGAACTGGGGGGAAGGGAATAATCATGAGGTGCACAGTGAAATGTCTTATTGCTCCTTTCTACCTTCCATTTTGAACAGTCTTTCCCGTGAACCTGGGGCTAACAGGTTTAGGTAGATTGGTTGGCCAGCAAATTGCGAGGATTTTCGGTTCCCTATCACTGAGATTATAGGCACACATTGCTCTGTCGTTTTCTTGGGGATATCAGGGCATCAAGCACTTACAGACCGAGTCAATCCTCCAGCCTCCTGGATCTGTCCATTCTTTTTCTATTTTCCATCTATAAAATCAAGCATGGGAGAGCTATCCTTGACATATTCAACCTGGAACTTTCCTAAACATGGCCCTATGCGGACCTTTACAGTCAGGCAGGAGCGGTTACCCCACCCCCGCCCCGAGACAAGAGTTTCTTTGTGTAACAATCCTAGCCGTCCTGGAACTTGCTTTGTAGGCCAGACTGGCCTCGAACTCAGAGACTCCCCCTGTCTCTGCCTCCCAAGGGCTGGGATTAAAGGCATGTGCCACCACCTCCTGACTTTACAAAACTGGTTTTGTGTGGTGTGTATATTACAGCAGTTGGGACTAGTGTCTAGTAGCAAGCTAAGCAACCGCGTTAACGTTTTTTAACTTTTGATTTTTTTTGTAAAATTTGATCATAGCAAAATATATTTAGAAAGTGAGAACCTGTTACAAAGGAGCCGTCTGGGCCTTGCTTTGAGATTACGACAAGCAATCTGTTTACGAAGTGGTGGAGAGTTTGGCCTGGATCCCCAAACAAACTTCCAGTAGGGAGAAAGTCACAATAAACGGGTAAGTCCAGTTCTGGAGGTGTTGGCTACTGATTTCACGTTTTGGGAACAGTGAAACCTAAAATCTCTTTGTCACTAGCTTTTTTGCATTGCTGTAGGAGATTCTTCCAGTGGCCCAAACGCATAGAAGCACATGGGTGGGTAGGTCCGCTGGAACCACACTCCAGTCTCGAGAATGGGGTGCTCCCGCCCAGCGCAGCTGCGGCTCCGGGTACAACCCCCCCCCCACACACACACACATTCCACGCCCTTGTCACTGTCATCCAAGGTCAAAAAATTCGGTGCTCAGGCCCCTGCGCTGGGGTTTTGCTCCGTTCACGTTCCCGCACAGGCAGAGCCTTGGGCAGCCCGAGCCCGTCGCTCGCATTGACGTCACTGCGCCACCCCCGCGGAAGGCCTGCCTCGCCACTCGTGGCTGTTCGCGGCGCTGGGACGGAGTCATGGCGCGCGAGCTGCGGGCTGCGCTGCTGTGGGGCCGCGGGCTGCAGACTACACTGCGGGCTCCGGCGCTGGCGGGCGTCCGGCGAGGTGAGCGCGGCGCGAGAGCCCAGAGGCGGCGTTCGAGGCCGCACAAGCGCCGGGGCTGCCGCGCTGGGACAGGGAAGTGCGGTCGCTTCTAGGGTCGCTTCTAGGCGGGCTCCCCCAGCCTGGGCTGGTCAGTCCTTGGCGTTCCTGATTGGGTTCCGCAATCAGGACCCAAGTTCACGCGTTCGTTGCACACGCTTAATTCCCGCAGAGCTCAAGCCCTGGAGTAGAAACTGTGAACAGAAACAGTGATCACCTCAGACTTCAGTTCAGTGAACTCCCAGTGGTTGGTCCCTGCATTCCTAGGACCTGCAATTAGAAGATACAAGGAATGGGGTGAGGGGAAGACCTTAATCTGTGCTTTCCCACCCCCACTCGAGTAACGGTGACGGTGTTAGCGTTACACACACGCGCGCGCATATGTATAT